AATTCAGTCCATATACATTTGTATGTTTGACACAACCTCAAGCAAATTCCATCCAAATTGACGTCACCTCCGTGTTACTATTAGCTAGGACTCGTGGATTTGTGATTTTCCTGTACATCTGGGGAGTCATGTGGTGATTCGTTCATCGGTTGAGCTCGTGGCGACACAGGCCTAAATGTACAATCTAAGGAATCTGAATCTGGTGTGCCTGGCGTGGAAGGCGTTAACCTATCTGATGTGCACATACGTTTGGATAAAGGCGAGTCCATGTCTTCGCATCTTCGTTTGCCGGAGAGGTGGTTCGGTCGACTGACTGGACTGAAACTGGATGCACGTATTATGATTGTGGGTGACACGCTGCGTCGCGTTGTATACGTGGATTTTCTTGTAGGTGACGGTGACACTTGGGAGGGGGAGATCCTGGAATACAGTTTTATAATGTCGTCAACTAATAGAAAAATATATAAAGTGATAATTATTTATTTTCAGACAACATAGTTCATATAAGTTAGTAACATAACACAAGTTATATGTTAGTATTAGGATTAGTACAGTGCGTCTACTTTCTCAATGTCCCCCGACAATCATCGGATTTCCGAATGCACACGAATATCAATTTTCATGCCCATTATTATTAGATTTAAAATCAATAATAATTTGAATTTTGAACAACGTACTTTGTAATGTAATGTAACAGTAGAGCTCCTTGTGAAAGAGTTCGTCCAGGGTAGTACTGCCACGTTACCTATTTCTGCCGCCGAGCAGTAATGTCAGCATTACTGTGTTCCGGTTTTGAAAGCTCAAGGGTGCTGGTGAAATTACAAGCACATGGGACTTGTCAACTTATGTCTCAGGGTGACGGTCGCAGTGGTAGTGCCCCTCAGATCTTTGTGATTTAAAGCTTGTGTGGCACTGCAACTGTTGTGGACAGGCGCGTAGCTCACCATCAGGCGCACGAATCGCCTAACTTGATATCATAAAAAAAACTTTATTGTTGTTTGTTTTGATTTCCGTGTGAACTATATAGAGCTGTCAATCTACTCCCCTATCACGTTTTTGAACTTTTGAAAATAACCATCGTTGTCTTTCTTGAACGTATCGAATTCTTGTAAAAAATACAAGTACACGTTGTAAATTATCTGCCGTGCCTGTAACATTGGCGGCTTTCCTCCCATTGGATATTACATAAAAATGTAAAAAGTAAAAAAAAATGTAAAGTATATAACTCTATATACTTCCAAGTCGACTGAAAGCTTCCGGTCTGTACCAAAGGCAAAGGGCAACCCGACGACCGCCGATACGCGAAGTTTGCCGAGAGACATTGCGAAAATAGAAGCACTGTACAGTACAATCAATCTTCTTCTGACGAATTACATATACATTATAAAATTAATTGCTTATATAGCAAACAGGATGGAACCGCGATGGCGGCGCACTGACTCACACGTAAAACATGCAACTCAGTGAACCTCCGAAACACTGCTGCATCCATCCAGTACGCTATCATCTTCAGGATCTAGTTGCTGCTACCCCTCACTCTTCGTACTATTGATGAGAAGATTTTACGCATGATGGCATAGAAATCGTCCACAGCAGCATCTGCGATCAAGCCAGATGCACTGCAGAAACGGGGGAGCCTCAACAAGGACCTGAAGGTTTTGTTATATTGGACTCGCAAGGCATACGATCCCAGTAAAAAGTTAGCCCATAGAGCACACGTGTAGAAGCTCTGGCAGTAAGCTCTGAAGAGTGTAAGCTTCACTCCGATCCACAGCAAAAAAATTCAACATCATCGACTCATATACGGCTCACTACTGAGGTTAGGTTTAAACCATAGATAAAAAGGTAAGAAATTCCACAGTAGACTGGAGTTAAACAATATGGCACAAAATTATGGTAATCTCTGTGTACATCAACCTACACAGAGTTGTTTGTAACGTATTAACAACCTCACAGGACTATATTACTTAAATCATAAACAACAACTTTTGTTTCATGACTTTTTTACAGAACAACAAACTTACAAAAAAAAAACTTTTAAGTTTTTTCATCACACTTGTTCTATATTGTTTCCATTAGATATATACAAGGAAGTGTGAGGTGTGAGTATATTTTCCTTTATAAAAATTGGTTTGCAGCTATTTCTAGGTCGGGTCTTACAGATTATAGGAATACACTGTTTTTGTATAATGAAAAGGTCTTCTTTTTTGTGTTCAGTGAGCATTCTTCAGTTTTTTATTCTTTAATCCGAAAAAGACAAACACTATCCTTCGGGGAGACCCATGCCTAGCTGTGGTACGCATGATGATGACTAATGACGATGATGAAACAAAAGGCAAACTGTCATGCCATAAAACCAAACAATCTAGTAGCTAGTTGGTTGGTTATAGTTGCTAGTGGATGATTAATTTCTTGGCATATTTTTTGGCTTTAATTATTTATTTATTTATGTATAAAGCATTGACTTCAGAGCCATCAGCTTAATGGTAACAAATAATCAAGAAACGCACAATGTAACATACATAAACTAAAAATCAATTCGTGTAAAAAATGTAACTATTAAAACCCGCCATATTTTTTTTGTTCAAGAGCTTTAATGTTTTTGACTGTTTGTATAAGACGCTTAGTGTTACCTGGGTATCCTAGTGGGTGAATTGGGCAGCCCGGCGAGCGTGAGGTCTTCGCAGGACTGGCCCATTTGCATGGCACTCGTTATTTCCCTTTCGTGGGCCAATTCTCGCGTGTTGCTGACGTCAGCGCACTCCTCTGCCCGCAGTTGATTCACGCGCGGCGTTAGTGGGGGGCCCCAGTTGTTCTACAAGTAAACATGTAAAAGTGTATTTATATTAATAAAGAATAAAATCAAAAATTTAAACAGCTTTACTTTACTTGAACAGTTAAACACCTTTTTAGTCGAGCTCAATAATAATTAATCTGTTTAATTTAGTGTGCACTATCAATTTTGTGGAATTAGTTAGTTTAATATATAACTCAGTATACAATAGTTTTAAACATACAAATAATTCTTAATAGTGTTAAGTGCGGCGTATAATATCAATAACAACCTACAAGTTAATTTTTTTCAAGTTTGTGCGGTTAAGTATTCACGAATACGCAAAAATCGCGGTTGCGCAGTGTACGGAGCCATCATATTGCCGTGAGTATCCGCTTTGTGACGTGAACAACTGCTGAGCCATACTGCGCAGACGAGTCATTAGTGCAGCGAGTACTGGAGTTGCATCTGAGAGGATCGCGAATAACAACAAAATATTAATTGATTTACTTATGCGAAAATGTCTTCTACTAAGGGATTGGAATGTAGTGGTTGCCTAAATATAATTTCGGGAGAATATTTAACTTGTAAAAATTGTCACCAATTGTACGACCTGTTATGTGCCAATATAAATCGGCCAGAATATAGGCAGATGAAAACGGATCCTAAGCGCTCATGGGTGTGTGATGGCTGTCGTAACAAAATGCCTAAATCTAATAAAAATGATACCCCTACCGAAAAAAACCGTTTTCAACGTCCAGAAACTGACGATGCGCATTTGAATGTAACGCTTAGAAACAAGTCTAATCCTCGGAAGACTGATATTGGTCCCGCTAACATAACAAGTGGCGAAGTGCGCTCGGCATTACGGGAGGAACTGAAGCTTATTTTGCCAACACATCTGTCTACCGAATTGGCTCCTGTCAGGCAACAACTTCAGGATCTTCAGGAGTCAGTACAGTTCGTGAGCAATCAATATGAAGATCTAAGCAAATCTTAGGAGACACTCATAATTGAACATAAGGCTATTAAGGAGGAATGTATGAGTTTACGCATCAATACAGCTAGTCTGACTGAAAGGATAAATACAATGGAGCAGTATTCACGCGGCTCCAATTTAGAAATACAAGGTGTACCTGAAAGCAAATAGGAAAAGGTTGTTGATCTGATTAAAAAAATTGCTGAAGAGGTCTCATACACCATCCCCGATTCTGGTATTTTGAACTGTACGAGAGTAGCTAGCATTAACAAAGATGTTAAGCGTCCTCGAGCAATTATTGCCAAAATGTATAGAACACGCTATCGTGATGAATTTCTATCCGCTGTCGCTCGGTACAACAAGTCTCATATTAACAAGAAACTATGCTCATCTCTACTTGGAATATCTGGCGAGAATAGACCGATATTTTTGTCCGAGCATCTCTCTCCTGTCAACAAGGCTCTTCATGCTGCAACAAGGAAAAAAGCAAAAGAACACGATTGCAAGTATGTTTGGGTGCGTAATGGCCGCTCCTTTATGCGTAAGGACGAAAATTCGCGTTTTATTCACGTTAAAAATGAAGACGCTTTGGACTCTTTTAGATGGTAATACTTTCAATTATTGTAAGTCCCGATTGTCATCAGATATATGTTTTTTGTATACTTATATTTTTATGGATAGAGTACACTTGTCATTGTTTTATCAGAATATAAGAGATGTAAAATCTAAAGTAATGGACATATATAATAGTATTCTTTGTAATAATTACGTTGTGATTTGTCTGTGTGAGACCTCTAACGAAGACATATGGGTGTATGGGTATGGGTATATATTTAAAACATAGTTATATCAATATCTGTGTGGTGTATCTTCCGTCGTATATAACTAAAATAGAATTTAGTCTTTTTTTTTTAAATTAGTCATAACAATATTACAAATGCTGGAAATAACCATACTTTAATTTGCCAGAAATGATTGGAACAGTAAAGGTTTTATTTCGACAAATAATCAAAAAGTTGCTGCTTTGCACGATTTCGCTTCAGGGGCAAATATTTTACTTTTTTTTTTGTTAAAAAATTATAACGACAAAATTTTGGATGTCGTATTGAGTACTTTAAGATTGTCTTGTAGTGTTACAGAAGCTCAACTTTAAGCCGTCTTGATAAACATCGTCCTCCACTCGATATTAACATTGCACTGAATAGTGAAGCCATACTCAAGTAAAGAGCAGTATAGAGATTGAATTATCGCAAAACTAATTTTGTAGTTTGCATTTCTGAACTGAATGAAATAAACTGGAACCAATACTGTGATTACGCCTGTAACGAATTTGTCGAAACTGTCTACAACTATCTCATTACAATAATAGAAAGAAACACTCCGAAATCTAAAGTTAATAAGTCCAACCGTCCTGGTTTACAAATGACTTGATTGGTATTCTCAAGGAAAAGGATAAATATCATCGAAAATTTTACAAATTTGGTATACCAAGAGACGAAGATACGTTCTCACTTTTGAGAAGGAGAGCAAAAGCAACTTTAGAAAATGTTTTTACTCTAGAAAAAATCTTAAAACAGGTATAAAAGCATTTTGGAGATACACTATATCTAAAGGAACTACAAATGACATCCCAAAGGTTATGTGTCTCGAGAATGAGTTCGCTAATTATGGAGTAGATATTGCAAATTTGTTCACGAAATACTTTTCTTCCGTATATAGTATGCCTGGATCTTCCAGAGTAAATGCCAGATTTCTTGGAATCAAGTCTAAGGGTTATATTCCAGGACTCTACTCAATGCTCAAGTCAGGATTTGAGCAGACTTGAGTATGATTTCAAGCACTGGAAATACGACCCTAATGGCAAGGACTTGAGTATGATTTTCAGTGCTCACTGCAATAGTCCAGTCCTGACTTGAGTATTGAGTTGAGTTCTGGAATACGACCCATAGTCTGTCTAAAGTAGTCATCTTAGAAAAAGAGGTAGAATCGCATTGAAGACACTAAAAGTAAATAAACTTTCAGGCCTTGACAGCATACCGCCGTCATTTGTTCGTACTTGTGCTCAAGCTTTAATAATTCCCCTTACAATTATTTTTAATAGGAGTCTTTCTCAGGGATGTTTCCGGATCGTTGGAAGGTCGCTAAAGTTACTACTTTGTAATGGGTACTCCATTTGTAAGTCCGGCAATAAAATTGATGTCTAGAATTACAGGGGAGTTTGCATCCTTAATTACTTTAGCAAAGTCTTTGTAGGCTTACTGTATTCATTATTTACTATCATATGAAACACTTGATTAGTCCTAAACAACATGGCTTCGTCGAAAATCGTTCAACATAAGTCTAACCTGTTCACGAACCTCTAACTTGCTCACGTACGTTCATTATGTGGGAATAGCGCTGAACAAGGGTCAACATGTGGATGCACTATACAAAGATATGAAAGATTTGCGAAAGCATTTGACAGGGTAGATCACAAAATAATCTGTCACAAGATGAATCGCCTTGGAATACACGGTAATCTGTTGCGTTGGCTAGAATCTTACTTAATGAACAGAACTCAGCTGGTGACTGTATACGGATATGATTCGATTCCTTTTCAGCCGCTGTCTGGTGTTCCACAGGGTTCTAATCTGGGCCCATTGCTATTCATACTGTTCATTAATGATCTATTGGGATTGATCAGCAGTGAGTGTCTAGCATATGCCGATGATATAAGATTTTTAATAAAATCGTAGGGGCTACAGATTGTTTAGCGCTGCAAGGGGATATTAACGTGCTCTCAAATTGGTGTCGAAATAATAATATGTCCCTTAATGTTAACAAATGTCATCTATTAACATTTACACGTAAAAAAATCCTTTTATGTAAATTGTATGTAAATGTAGTTATGAAAGATCTGGGAGTGTGGATTTATTCCAGTCTCTCTTTTAGACAGCATTATGACTATTAGTGTCAAAGTGCAATAAAATTATGGGTTTTCTAATAAAGTCTGTGCGGCCATTCAGAGATCCATGCACCATTGTTATTTTATATAATGCATTGATTCGAAGTGTATTGGAGTATTGTTCAGTGATTTGGTCTCCGTATGATCGACATAAAAGTAGAATCGAATCTACACAGAAGCGTTTCTTGAGACATTTAGCCACTAAAATGGGTTTAAGACGTAGGCTCACATCATACGAAGATAGGTTAAGGTATTTTAAAATTTATACCTTAGAGAGTAGACGCTCTTCGCGCAGATTTGCCGTGTTATACAAATTGGTCAACACTGTGTGGGATGCTAGTGAATTGTTAGATCGGGTTGGGATTATTGATTGGAAGATACCGCACGCAAAAAAAAGTTTTTTATGTGCCACTTACAACATACAAGGTGTCGTACAATGATCCGTTGTTTTGTATGTGCAGGAATTATAAGAGGGTTAACACGGAGGTAGATATACTCCACCAATCTTTAAAATCATTTCTAGCGTCTAGGAGGTCCCAAAACTAGGTGCGTTCATTTTACTTATTTTTTTGTAGATTTTTAATTTATGACTTGCTCAAACTTTTTTCATTTTATAAACGTACATTTTCATTTTTATAGAATATTTAACTAAATCTGTTTCATTTAAATGTTGTGCACAATTGTCATCTGTTCCAAGCTAAAAAGTGTTGTAGTATTAAATTACTATTAAGTATTGTACATGACAACTGTTATTGTGTCTAAATAAATAAATAAAAATAAAGAAATACTTCCCAGGCAAAAAAAAAATAGCAGTAAGCCCCGGTAACAGCTTTTCGGTTATATGTCAATGTTCTTACGTATAATTACTTTAACACATAGAATTAAAAAAAAAATAACTCCGAAAGTTATTGAACATTGTCTTATTTGTTGTGCGCAACACAACGCGGCTGTAACCATATTCCCTTATTTCATCCATTTCAAAACTTCTTCCCGCCAAGTTGTACCACACGCATTATTTGTAGGAAACAAGATGTATTAGAATTTTAGTTGCAGATGGTTGTAACATTATAATGTATACATAATGAAAACGACACGTTTATAGAATAATAACGGCAATTA